TCTGGGCCAAAGCTGGCTGGTGGCTCCAGTTTACTTAGCTCTGGAGCTGAGGATGCTTAGAGTATTGCAGAGGCGTTGCCTTCCAGTCTCCAGGGCAAATGCCTTTTGCAGGGGCATGCTTTAGTGACACACTACACTTAGCATCAAAGTAAACAATGTGAAATAACTATAAAAGACATATCTGGAAGGAGGAGAAACAGATTTGGACCCGAGAAGAAACACCCGTTTCTCCTGTCCCCTTCCAGTTTCTGAAGTGTTCTCTCCCTCCAGTGACCCAAAGTTGAGCTTAGTAAAGTTAAAACTACAGCTAGTACATGATAACCTTCTTGGTGAGCTTTTTGCTTTCCTTAGAGAACACCTTTTACCGTTAAAGAAGCTACCTCACAAAACCTGATGCTCTCCTGATTTCAAATTTGCAACAGAAGTCATCGCCACAGCACTGGGTCTTACTTCCTAGGAATACATGCCCCACCTTGGTCCATGAAGCTTTCATGAATCATACTGCATCACTTTCATGTGCCTCTCCTCTGAAGGCAGATGGGCATGAGCCCCAAACCAAACTCAATTTTCAAGTAAGCCATTTAAATTCACGAGAAGCAGCTTGCTTAATTGTTCAGCCTCATGCATATTCCAACCAATTCTGGAGAGCATAAAAAACCCGGAGCCACCTGTGTTTTAGGTAGCCAAATAATAAAGACTTTTTAGTACTTTCCAGGGTTGAAGTGAGTGCCAAGAAAGAGAATCAGAGAAAGACCAAGCAGTTCTCATGATGTTATGTCCCCCTGTGGTCTAATTTAATTCTTCACTTCCACTCCAGCCCACTAGCTAACCTATCCACACAGGTTATAATGCTCTGCCAGTCTGATACTGCAATCACAGATACAGCATTCTTTCTCCCCAGCAATTTCACAATAGCAATTCCCCTTCAGCTGTATGGTGAGTACATGAAAAATACTTGACACTACAGGTTCTTTAGGGTGGATGATTAGAAATACAAGTGCTGCTATTGGGATGCCCTGAGAATCACTGACTTAGCTTGTTTGAAAAGGCAGTGCTTTCTTTAGGTTGCAATTACAAGGTAGTCAAAACACATAATGGGCAAGAGTACTGCATGCAGCTGTAACTCATTCAGAGAGCACTCTTCCTTTCCCTGGAGCTAATGCTGTGGAGAAGCTGTTCCATCACTCTTTTAGATTGGTTTAATGTAATGCCCTTTTCTACTTTGATCAAGTTTATTGCCACAGAGGTGAATTACTGTCTGAGTTATTTCACATGCCTAGTTTATAAAGCACATGTTGAACCGTGTCTTTGTTAGTGCTCCAGCATGCAGAAGCTTAGCTACAGCCCCAAGTGTTACAATAGTTGTACCTATGAGCTCTTTTGATGAAGCAAAGTTCGTGCCTTGTCTTATGCACGTATGCTTATCTTGAAGAACAACACCTTACCCTTATTTATTTAATTGCTCTTACTTCCTCTTTTCTCTACTCTTTTTTTGGAGGGCTACATTTTTTCCTTTATGTGGTCCTGGATAGAGACCAAAATGTGTCAGCATTCCACCATTCCTGATGGTAGAAATTGAACTCCCTAGACCCAACAAGCCCAGCAGAGAAGCAGAACTCTTAAGTATCTGCTTAATAGCACAGGGTACAGTGGGGCAGATTTGCACAGGCCAGTTAGTAACAATGGAATCATGTCCAGTGGCTGCATCCTTTCTCTCTTCCTATGATGCCTAGGAATCCACCTTCCACCTTCCATGCTCTAGCAGCGTGCATGGGAGAGGCAGCACACTCTTCCCTGAGCACCATTACTCTTGGCCTCCCTGCCATCAGTGGCAACAGCACAGCCAGATTTACTCCTAGTGAGCATCCAGCATAGGAGCCAAAGGATTTTTAGCCTTATAAAAGGAGCAATATTGCAAACTTCTTCATAAGGTCCATGGACTGTTAGTGAATATTCACCCCAGGTTTAAGCTGGTTATAGACTAAAGCCGATGTTCATGCATGCAGGTGCAAGAGTTCCTGGAGCCCTTGCAGTGAAGTACATGCATTTCCTTTTTGCAGCTGTAGTCACATTATTGCTATAGCTATTAACTGAGTTATTACAGCCACCGAGTTTAATAGTCACCTGCAAGGAAAGACAAGCTGTTAAGGCAAGGAGCTCAATATTAAATACCTTACAGCAATTCTTTGAAGGTTGTCATTGGACAAGGCAGAGCTTAAGGTCCCGCAGAACTGGTTTCAAGGAACAGGGCAAAAATCCAAGAAAAAAAACAAAAACAAAGGACTCTATTGCTTCAATGAGGACATCAGACTCTGACCAAGCACAGAGACTGCATTCACGCTTTGTATTATGCTAACATAAACACAAGCCCTTGCCCCCATTTCTCTTGACTAGAAACACTGCAGCAAGATATCAGTAAGAGGTCCGAAACAAAAGGGGAAGGACATGCTCCAACATAAAATACAAGAGCAGATGAGGGAGAAGGAGATTGATAAAGGGATTACTCAGCAGGATAGGGTTACAGCATGGAGGACCTGGACTCAATTTGATGGTCCTCTTTTCAGTCCCTCTGTGACCTTGGACTAGTTGGACATTCTGCCTCCCTTCTGACAAAGGCAGCAGGCAGCGCTTTCCTAATGCTTAGGAGGATTCACTGAGGCACAAGGCCACATGGATGGGCTGCCAGTTTGTGGGGAAGGGGCACGAGTAGGCCAGTGGACCCAAGCATCATACAGCATCACCAAGCTTCAGCTCCAATACTCTCTTCCCTTCCTCAATTCCCCAAGGTACTTGCTAAACCAAAGACACAAACCCCTTCTCTTGTAGGTCAGATATACCTGATGGCTTTAGGAGCTTACAAAGGATTCAGCTAGCAGATCTTTAGAACATACAACTCTCATCTGTCATCCACTAAAAAACAACAAATGAAGTTTTAAGACCCATTTTTTTTAGCTACCTAGAAACCTAAAGTTGTTTGCTCTCTATTTACAATATAGCTTATGGTAAGTGAACATCTTTTAACAACCACTCTTCACATTCTCTACAGGAACTTGGTATATTAGAGGGACAATAATCATGGAAATAGCCAAGAAATAGCCAGATAGAAGGTAATAATGAAAGGCCACCGTGACATACAAGATTTAAGTGAGTACCAGCAGTTGTACCTCACACCTGAATTGCATATGTGCTTTCTGGGTTCAGTAGCAAAAGTGTCACCAAGTGTAAGGACAGCAGGTGTGAATCCCCATACAGGTCTGACAGGCACTCGCTGGTTGTTGTGAGCCAGTTCCCTGAGGGCCACAGCTACAAAAAGCCCAGTTTTCTATGGAATCTCTGTTCTTCATCCTGAACATGGAACAACAGGAATGGTGAGAAAACACACAACCTCATCATGCTGCCGGAGATCACTGGTGGAGACTAACAGCACTGCACTCATCAAGCAATGAAAACAACATGCCAGTATGTTTGTCTAGGCAACACTTTTAATGCAAATTAAAATGGATACACATTACTTAGATCTGAAATTAAAAAGCAACACAGAAATCCAGTCTACTATTATATTGCTTTGCTACTTCTGAGACCATATTCCCATTCATTAAAAAGCCTTCAGCATGCATAATTATCATCTAACACCCTCAAGAGGAAGATCCTGTCCTCAGAAAGTTAAGTACTGAAGCACTTAAGGATGCAGAATGGGACTAACTGGACAGAAATTCCCTTTCTGCAATTGTCTATGTATTAACCTGCAGTAAAGAAGCAGGCATTGGATATTTGGAGCAATTCATTGTGGTGAGGAAGAAAGAATTAACTCTTGGGGTTACGCATCAGTCACCTTCAGGAGTACATGATGGCCACCCCCCTCAGCAAGGGTTATGTACAGTGAGGAGCTACAAATGCTAGGTGCGCAGATCAGCCAAGAGGGCCATTACAGTACCTGAGGAAGTCTTAAAAATAACCTTTTGCTCAGACTTTTTCTTTCCTGAATATTTTTGTTTCAACCACAGTTGGTCACTGGTGGGCCCATTTTGCCTGTATGTTATCTGGGCCCTCAAATTAAACTAATTGTGGTCCTTGGCAACACGACTGGATGGGAAATCAATTCACTAAAGGGAAGTGTCTCATCTTTAGTGTCTTAGAAATACCCATATTTCAATGCTGGGGATGTCAGGACTGCAGGACATGGGCAGAGGCAGTGACAGACAGGACTCCATTGAGCACCTTGCTATGGAGCAGCCACGCCAGGTCACGGAGAAGAAACAGCAAGGCAATTTGCAGCCAAGGGTCTGATTTACTGGCGATACAAAAGCTTATGCCCCGTTTCCAAGTACAGCTTTCCGCTGCCCTTCTCCCTCAGCGACTCCTTGCACACATCTGCAGCTTGTGCATCATCAGCCAGGCAGCGGGACTGCAGAAGGACAGGGACCCAGCTCTGACCTCTCAGCTTCAGCCCAGAGCTGCCAGCACGAGCTCCTAAATGGCTCAAGCTGCTCTCAGACTTTAAATAAAGACTTTAAATGCTTTTATACACAAAGCTCGGCGCTGGAAACTGGTTAGCCAGCTTTAACGATGAATCAGTTTGATGTTGCTGTATTTCCTCCAGACCTTTGGGGCAAGAATGCCATACAGGTGTTCTGGCTTTCAATCCACGCGTTTGATAAGAGACGGTGTATGCAAGCAGGCTTCCCTTGTGATAATAGCACCTTTTCACCCCTTCCCCAGGGCAGCTAAGCTCATGGCGAGAGCTAATGCTCATCCTGCAGGTACATCGGCATGTTGCAACGAAAGAGGAAATGTGAATATAGCTGTCTCATTTCATGAACACAGAAGCTGCCATGTGCACACACAAAAGGAAGACAAGAATAATTTTCTCCCAGCCTACACCACACAGGATTTGTTATCTCCTGACAAACACGGCCTAAGCAATTGAACTAGCTACTTTCCAGGGCTGCAGGTGCAGCACCAGCCAGGCAGTACACCCAAAACAGAGCAGCAGAAGACTGTAAAATATATACATTTAATGTTGTTAAGCTCTTCCAAATAGCAACATGCTGCTTAAGTAATCTCTGTCTAAGCCCTTGGCTCCTATTTCCCATGAAACCTTAAACAAACCTTTTATTGAAGAAGAAAAAAATCTTTTTGTCTAAATTGCCTCTTCTCCCCAAGATGCTTCAGTTCATTGTGCCTGACCTTCTCTAGCTACTCAACAAATACTTGTATTTTAACTTTCATAGTCTGACCTTTCTTACTGTCAGCCGCTTGCTTGTTAACGCTGACTGCACCCCCCAAAGGCCTCTTGGGAAAAATAAATAGCAAATTAAACTTTGAAGGACTAACAGAGAAGAGATGCTTTGGCTTACATTGCGTGAATCTCCGTTGTACCCTCAAAGGATGCAATGCATTAGTTCCATCACCTCTCCTCTCTTTTTCAGTGCCAAAATCTATATGTAGAAACCATTTCTCACTGGCTACATCTGTCATATTGTTTCCTCATGTCAAAGCAGTTGTTGCATTAAATAAACTTGATGCGTCTTGTCATTAAATTCTCTGATATTTATCCTGTGCAAGACGGAAGATGGGAAAGGCTGCTATTGATCATCGGGCTTTATAGGGACAGAATGATCTCCTGCCTGGGCCAGAACACTTGAGTTTTATATACTTATTCATCAATCTGTGTATTTATTTATGCAGGTTGCATTCCTATTATAGTAGTGATCCATGACTACACCAAAGTCTTATTTTGATATCATAACACAAAATAAGCAAAGCATTTGAAGAGCAAAAATTGATTGCAAATGGATGCAAGAAGACACAAATCAAGGGACATCCCTTAGATCCTTTCTAACAGTTTGGAGCAAACCTTTTTTCACACCCCTTTGGAGTTCAAGTGATGTCTGTACTATGGAGCTCTATGGCCTGGAGGGTAACTTGGATTTATGCAGTCTGCTAAAACCTTGCAGTGGGTGTCACTACTACATTTAACCTACATAAACACTCAACTGTTCTTAGCTCTTCAGGAAGGGCTGAATCTGCTGGATTTGTTCACCTAATGCCTGCCCCGTCTGCAGCAAGAAACAAATCCTTGGTGGCTTTAGGGTAGATGCACACAGAGGCTTTGGTCTTTGAGAGCAACAGTTGGGAAAAGACAGTATCTGTTACCCAAGAAAATAAAGCTATTTCAATATAATACTTATAGAATACAGTTATTTGCAATGCTATTGGGACTTTGGAATTCATCACATGACAAGAAGAAAGAAGGTGCTTGCTGGTTAGGAGCAGTATCTGCATCATTTGAATTTCTGACATTCTTGTAGGTACAACTGAATTTTTTAGTGTAACTACACACGAGACTGGACAACTTAACACTGGTAGAATTCCTTCCTAAAATACTGCCTTACCCCACTGAAAAGAGATCGAGAGCAAAGAAATAGGAAGAAATTTTCCAGCAAATTAAAGTGTAAGTAATATGAAATATTGATCTGAAATCATAAGCCCATGAGAATCTTACATCAAAAAGCTTCCTGAGCTGGACAGCACATCCTTTCACATAAAGCAGTACAATCTTCTCCATGATACCTGCTCCCATCAGCTCCAGTCTGGTTTATTATTAATTACTTCTTACAGATGCAGCAGTAGCTGGGAAAGCTAAACGGGGTGGTATATCTGGCAGATTTTTTTCCTTCATATTAATCCCTTTTATGTCTGAATTAAAGCCAGAGGCTATGGAAGTTAATTCTATGCTGGCCACACTAGAACTGTAATAACCTGTGAAAACTGCAACCTTGAAAAAGAGAATTAATCACTGCGTGCATGTATGGGCTTGTGAAACCAAGCAAAGGTTTACATCAGTAGGAAATGCATTTTTCTTACGCTGATTGAAGGACGTGAATGTACGTGCTCGCCCATCTTCTTGGCACTGTGAGACAGGGATTAAAAAAATAAACCTTTTTACCATCTTTCCAGACGGAATTGGACTTGCCAAGCCATTTGAAATACAAAGGTGAAAGATTTATTTGTGGAGGATTATATTAAGGGAGGGAATTTTATAAAGCCAGGCTGTTACTGAGCCAGTGCAGAGAAAGCAACGGCTGGCAACAAGGCTGGCAGTGTAGTTACCCCCAGCATGCAGCTATGTTCCTGCCCCAGTCAGTGCCATTAAATTCAATGCAGAGGCAGTACAGAGTCAGAGAAGACTGCTGGTGGTCCAGGAAGCTTACAGCATGTCCTGGGAATAGGTTACTGAAAAACCTCTGAAGCTAGGACAGGATTGTCATCTCTCTGGCATGCAGGAGCCTCCATACAATCCCTGATCCGAGGGCACAAACCCCTATCTAAACACTCAGCATTACTTGTAAGACCCCAGTGGTTAAAGTACCCAACAGGGGACCCAGATTCAGCTTCTTCTGCTACAGATTCAAATTCTTCTCATGTCTCTCACGCATTCATCCACCTACCTACTGAGCAATCCCCATTTGGGCAGTGGGTTGTGTAGCTGGCAGGAGCCATGGGGGAAAGGAGGCTGAGCAAAAAGGGAGACTGATGCTATCCTGGCAGTGACAGCACTTAGCTGGGGCAAAATCATAGGCAGTCTGATCTGAAATAGCATTCCTCATACTGGTATATGTGTTTGACTTGTTTTATCCTAGACAGTCAAACGCTGAAGGAGAACAGTTCCAGGCAGCACGCACTGCACTGCTTGACACCTGTGGTCTTTGCTTATTTCCTTCTTCCAGACCCCTGTTTAGATCCCTCCCTGTAGTTGGCCAAAAGCAACCTGGAGGTTAGGGTGCTCTTTCAGGATCTGTGGGATGCAGGACTAAATTCCTTTGCCCTGGAATAGGAAGTGATGTGATAGCTCCATTCTTAGGTAAATGCTCAAACTATTAGACCATTACACAAAACAAAGGAAGCGGAGCTCCCAGATCACTCTGTTGCCAAGCTTTGTTCTCAATTACTTTCCTCCTGCAAACACATTAATTGTAGTCAGAGACTTCAGCATTAGACCAGAACCTCTCTGTCTCATTTCTGAATTGCTGATGTGCTAGGTAAGGTGCTAAGTAGGCAGACCCTAAGTTCTCCAGAGTGAGGGCTGCTTCTTGCTCTGTATTTGGGCTGCATCCACACAGAGACATTCAAATACCCTTGAGGATCTGGATCTAATTACCTGTTCAATATCACAGAATTCTCCAGTGGAGCAAAGAACCAAGCAGAGGAATTTCCAGTCTTTAGTCAATTATTAATCTGTAAGAACATCAATTCCCAGGTTCCTATCTTTAATAATTTATTTTTGACTAAAAAGACCTAAATTATTAAGATGAGACCCACTTTGAATTCTCTGTCTAGCTATTGAGAATTGCTTATTTTCATGATGTCTATTAATTATTTCCACTTGTTTTCCCTTGGCAATGCAATAAGTTAAATGGTTTATATAACTTTGACCTTTACCCCTACCATTTCCATTCAAATTCTGCCAAACGTTTCCCATACTCAAAAAGCAAGCACGTATGTGCTTTGAAAAATAAAACAGGAAAACAAAATCATATACAGTCTCCACAAGAAATTATGTTTCTGTAACAGCACTTCACAGATCTCCTTTATAGCTGCTTACAGATGATGTAAAAATGATGTTGGTTATGCCTGCAGCCAGAGAGCATTCCTAGCTATTTAGAAGATACAGACAATGTGACAGCTCAAATCCTCAGTGACAGGCCAGTAAACTGCCACGACCTACACCACGATCCATGAGTTGAGACCCTACTTATTGTAAAGGAACATGCCCCGACAGAGCAACTTTTCAGTGACAAAACTCTTCCAGAGTCTTTCAGGAAACATCTGTCAAGGCTCCCCTGCTGCCTCTGGGTTTTACTACCAGCAGGCTTTCCCTGCCCTGTTGCAGTGCATTGGACCTCACATGAATTTGCCCATGACTCACGAGAGCACATGCCCTTCCTCAACACCACGATCCTTACACTCAGGTCTCAGTGCCATCAGCAGCACACAGAGGAGGACTGCAATTCCTCCCAGGTTAAACTGGCAAACGTCTGTAAGTTCAGACTCAAGTAAAGCAGATCAGATGTCGGCAGCTTCAATTCATGGGCACTTTCATGAGCTTTTGTTTGTTACACCCGTGGCTTCTGTAAGTACACATCACACCAGTCACAAGGGAGAAAGTTCAGCAGAGGGGGTTTGCTTATCCTCCCTGTGCTGTCTGCCCTCTCCACGGCCCCACAACAGGTTCATTTCTGGGGAAGGGACTGAGGTGTGAGTCACAGGCGAAGCAAAGCCAGCTTGTGAGAGGTCACTAAGTGCTCAGGACGAGTAACGGTGTGGACCAGGAGATTAAAGGAAAGATGGAGAGGGGCTGAAATGAAGGGACCTGCCTCCCAGACTGAACTCAGTAGGCAAATACATGAGGCAACAAAAATTTCCCAAAATCTACACCACACTTTTCGCTAAATTAGCATGGAACTTGCTTTGCAACTCAGAGTAAGTCACAGAAAGCAAAGGAGAGCTGTAAAGCAGGACAGTCTTCTACTGCAGCCTCCTGCCACGAAGGGGCCAATGCCACATTACTCAGAGAAAGACACACCAAAACTTCTTTTCATTTTTGTATGGGAACACCCACATTCAGAAAAGTAAAAACCAAACCAAACCAAAGACCCCCAAACCAAAGCCAGTTTCTTGCTGAGGGTGCACTCAATCCCACTGTCCATGTAACCTACAAAGACATTAAACAGCACCGGTCCACAGCACTGGTCCCAAGACCAGCCCCTGAGGAACACTGCTCATCACTGGTCTCCACTTGGACAGCAAGCCACAATGAGAGCTTACACTCTTTCTATAAATAAGAAACAAAATGATGGGTATTCTCATTATCCATAGAAACACCCAATTCTCTTCTAACTCTCACTGCAGTCTTTGCTTTGCTTCAGGCTCACTGTTTAGCTGAGCTCCATGTTGCACTTCACCTGTAGCACGCTCCTGCCCCACCAGGGAGATTTTATATGTGATGGGCATGTTGTGGCTATGTCGAGGCAACACCAAGCCTCTACATATGCTGAGTGATGATACCTGTCACACCTGCCAAAACACAGAGATGATGCTGCATGACCACATCTTCTACTGTAACTACATGTTCAGTTTTGCTGAGTGTTGAAAAGCTTCATTATGCTCTCCATGGCCTGTTTATCTGTAACTTAAGAAGAACCAGCCTCAGAATATGCCTCATAAAAGCAAGACCCTTGATGTGACAAGTCAATCAAATTTAAAAGGTTACCTGAGGGGTTACTAAAGGAGGGCGCTTAAGGATCACAAAGCACTTATTAGATGCTCAGAATTTATTTGCAGAGGGTGACTTTCTGGAACTACTCCTTCTTTACCTTTCCCACAATGGAGCTACTGCTTCTCTAATTTAATAATTTATACATCTGGAAGTATTTCCTAATACTTATCCTTTAAAGGCTGATCTGGCAGAAAAGGATGAATCAGTGGTTAGGATACTGCCCCAGACTCAAGACTCATGAGGTACCCACTCGGAGAGGGATTTTAAGCAAATCACT